CCTTCGTGTTTACGTGTCCGTGCAGTAGTAGCTACGCAGCAGCGAACTTCATTGCGGGTGAGGCGTCCTTATTGTAGAGACATACGACTCAAAGCGGTTTTTCCTTTGCAGGTCGCTCACAGAGTGCTGAAATGTTTTCTTCCCAGCACCTCCTGCAATTTGCTCGTGCACAAGCCCCTTTAGGGTCAGTACACCTCACGCAGCCGCTCGAGGCTTCTTTCTGGACATTAAATTCCTGCATTTGCTCCTCTCTTGCTCCCTGCTGCAGAGCTCCGTGCGGATTGTGGGTTTTCTTTCGAAGATAGCTCGGCGACACATGGTGTGTACATACTCAGTCTATGCCCCGCATCGTAGCCTAACCTCAGTGCCTGGCGGGACACCCTCATGTTACAGCCTCTCCAAGTACAAAGAGCTTTACCTTTTAAGATCTAGTGCATATTGGTCCCGTAGGCCGCCCCGGTTAGCGGGAGGTCTAGCTGAGGTGGCAGTGTGTGTCTCTATCGTCTTACCGTTCGCAGAATATTGCTACACCGCCGTCTGAAGTCATATAAAAGACTCGAGACGTCTAAAAAAATTTGCAAAAATCCAATTTATGGAAATTTGGAGCGATTCCGCAGAAAATCTTGCTCTGCTGGTTCTCCGGCATGTTGCCGAGAGTGGACAGTGGCAACTTGACCTGGTGCTTAGTCATCTACAGGAGCACAGGTTCTTGTTTCCGTACCCGCTCTGTTTGCCTTCTACTCTCATCCGCTCTTGAATACGTCAACCAAAATGCTTGATAATACTGATTAGATCAAATCAGGTAGTTGAGATCGCTCAGAAATGTAGAACTGGTTGTTTCGATTGCGCTGAGTATGCCCACCCCACCGTGATCGGAGTCGCTGCAAACGGCTAATGTGGGCTCTGTCGAAGTGGGTTGTGGCTTAAGTTTTGCCGGGGCCATGTCCCCCTAGAGTATTAGCAAATACTATCTTCTTCGAAGCACTCGAATTTTTGAAAGCCGGTCCTGCCCGCCTATTATGGTGCTCATCTCCCATTGTGGGATCACGCTCCGAAACGACAGCAAGTCAGTACAACGAAGGTTTTGGGGCTACTGGGCTACCCCGAGCATCAGCGTCAGCAGAACCCACACAGGGAAGCGCTGTGGAAAGGCTTTTACCCCGTTTTGGGGTGATTCGCGCTCTCATATGGAGATGCGACGATCTGCAGTCAGTGAGCGCCTTCGCTCACGAGCGGACGCTGCACGCCTCATGATTCACGTTATGCCGACGTCCCACGCACTCTTTTCTCATTAATATTTCGTTTCAGACGCACGATAATTAGGCAAAACCTTCGTTCCCTCTGCTAAAGCATTTTTACCCTGCAAGTGCTGGTGCTCGCCTCCCTGACCGTTGGCCCTCACCATTGTCTGGCCTCCCATATCTATTGCTCACAGAGTGTTAGAACGACCGGTTTCCAGCCGTTTCTCTTCGAATAAGTCGCTGTAGATGAATATACGCGTTGTGCTTCACCTTAGATAGTACCGAGCTACGCTGCACAGGCCTTACTGTACAAAACCGCTCCCAAGTCTGCGAGCCCATGACTCCTCTGCAGGGATGTGTCGTGATAGGTCACTCAGGCGAGCTACTATGAGACCTTAAAGCGTTTCTAATACTACAGAACAATATTTTAAACCTGTTGAGTAATTAAGGGTGACCAGCGCCAGAGTTTTTCGGAAAAGCAGCAGCCATAGCACGCCACTGGGGACTACCCCACGCGGATGCAGGACACGCTTGTCCGTTCACGACTCCCGTCCGCAGCAAGTAGCTAGGCAGCGACGCAATGAAACATTTCTTCTGCCACTGTAATCTGGCCAGCAATGCATTCCCACAGTAAGACTAGGGCGGCCCTCTCACCCTAGATGCCCGTCGATTTTGTGTTCGTTTGGAGCCGCTTGTGCAGTTAACGCCCGCACTGTAATTCTTTTGTTATAACACCTTGAAAGCAGCCCACCTCTAAAACATCAAATCCTCTTTGAAACGTTTGGGCAAGCTCGCTACCTTTCCAAGTCAATTCAGGCCCTTTGTTACGGGGCCATGCACTGCAGCGTTCTGACTCCTTCGAGCTCCTTAATTGGCACTCATGGGGGAAGCAGTGCATTATGAGTTGTCCCCTAGCCCGACAAATAGTCGGGACTCAGGTTTACTCCCTCAGGCTACTCGGCCTATTTCAGGGTCTGGCTTGCCAGTGGTAGGGGTGTATTGGCAATATTCCACAGCACTAAAGCTGCTAGTTTACTCCGCCGTCGTGCTGTTTGTGGCTCTCTGCGCTCGACGTCAATTACAGCACTTGTCGGAACATGGATGCAGGACTGGAGATTCAGACTTGGGTGGTGACATCTCATCCCGCTCGCAAGTAGGTGAAGGAAATCTGCACTTCAAATGTATCAGACCCAACAGATTTGTGCCGCGTGTAGTTTCTGTCTCACCCCTGTGCTCCATTCCCAGCGTGCGCTTTTTGGCGCGTCACTCAGGACTCCGATGAAGACGGTCCGTCCGGAGACCTGAGGTTTAACGCTCAAGCGCTAGGAACCGGCGCAGCTGAGGAAGGCGTCAGCAGGAGCTGTGAGGATGAAGCATCTGGCGGTGCCGCTGCAGCAGCTCCAAAACCAGCAGCAGATGAGGAGGATGACGACCCAGACAGCAAACGCGGGCATCCAGCTGCTGGAAAAGAATGTGGGAAACATACAGTGGAAAGGCAAGGGCGTGCAAGATGGATGGGGCCGCTGGCTGGCTTCTTGGAAACTGCCGGCAAGAAAATATCTTCCGTTTCAGCAAAATCTGATGTGGCAGCAAACCCAGCAGCAGGAGGGGTAGTAGGTAAGACTGCTGCGTGCATCTGGCGGTGCCGCTGCAGCAGCTCCAAAACCAGCAGCAGATGAGGAGGATGACGACCCAGACAGCAAACGCGGGCATCCAGCTGCTGGAAAAGAATGTGGGAAACATACAGTGGAAAGGCAAGGGCGTGCAAGATGGATGGGGCCGCTGGCTGGCTTCTTGGAAACTGCCGGCAAGAAAATATCTTCCGTTTCAGCAAAATCTGATGTGGCAGCAAACCCAGCAGCAGGAGGGGTAGTAGGTAAGACTGCTGCCAGCAGCTCAAAGGCACCTCAGCCAAAGGAACGCTGGCATTATTACCCGACGTTGGACTTCTGGGATTTGAATTCTCCCCATTATGAAGATTTGGGAAGACCTTATGACTTTCCGAACCTCAAGGCAGACGTAGGTCCACAACAAAGCAACAGCAACAAAACCATCAGCATGGTTCCTATGCACGCTGACCTTCATGGAATTCAGTGGAT